CTGTAAATGGAAAGAACGTAAATTACATCTTTTGTAGCTATTATTCAGAGTTGCGTTTTTGCTTTCTCGACCTTTATGTTACCTTCCACTCCATCGCTTCAGCAGATACATTCAAATTCACATTAAATTGATAGGAAAATAAAAACAAAGCATTCTTCACCTTTATCGACATAATGTGGGGAATAGCCATCTTTTTTTAGCTATAAAAACACTCATTAAAACACAAAAATTAGTTTTTAGATTAAATTCTTGATGATTTGTGTTAACATCTGAAAACATATTAATTTTAAGAGTATAAACAGAGGAAGTTAGGGAAAAGTTGAGTTATGGTGGGGGAGCTTGATATGATTGCTGATACTCAACATAGTTCTTGAACATCGTGCAAGTTTTGGATGTAAACGGATAAGAGGGGTTGTAATTAGCAACAGGGCTCCATATTTTGTGGTCTTGCCCATAGAATTTCACACGATGGGAAGGGTGCAATGAAATATGTGGCATTTTGAGAATTAAGCCAAATGATAAGACATCAACTCCATCATTCCACATAAGTTTCTTACTTCTAAGGAGAAATAGGTAAATGTCAGAATTTTACATTAAAAAAAATTAAAAGAAAGAAAAAGAAAGAAAACTATATTATAATAATCTTGTAAATATCATATATCTACAGCATAAAAAGTTTTTAGTCAAAATGTGATTTATCAAAAATTTATGTCCACATAATCATATACCGGTATCTAAATACAAGCTCTTGACGGTGGATTTAACGATGGAAGGGTTTCCTCAAGCCATCTCATGATCTCTCTCTCAGCCCTGTCAGCATAAATTTGTGAAAAGTAAAAATGAAAAAAGTATTTGGACATATACGGTAGCCTAATTGGCCCAAATTGGCCACTTTGTAAAATGATGAAGATTTTAATAAATCAAGTACTTGAGTAAATATGAATAAAACATACAGCAGCTACCTTAAATTATCAATGTGTAGACTGAGTGTAGAGTCACATTTACTCCTTGTTTGCTCTAGTTTAGCCACCTGATTTAGTCCCAGTTTTGCTCACAAGTTGAATAATTATTACTCAGTATACAGCCTCCTAGAAGGTTTGAATTGTTTAGCTGTCTTGTCAATTGTAAAGAATCTAATAAGATAATGTCTTAAGATTTTTAATCATTAGCCTATTACCAAATATTCATACCAAGTGTAGTTTGCACGGGATTCTAATGGGCTCTATGCACAGCTCCACTACTTCCTGAATTTAAGGCAGCTCCTTTGTTTCCTGTCTTTCATTACTGGACGAACTGATTAATCCAGGTGTGTCTGGCCAGTTACTTAGGTCATACACACCTGGATTAATCAGTGCATCCAATCATGAAAGACAGGAAACAAAGGAGCTGCCTTAAATTCAGGAAGTAGTGGAGCTGTGCATAGAGCCTATTCCACTGGTTCCTGTATTAGTGTCAGTAATCCAGTAATAACTTATCAGAGTCATGGTTTTGGTTATGTTGTGCTTTACTTTGCTCCTTGTTTTCTAGTTTTATTGGTTTAATTCCTATTTTTGTTGTAATTTCTAGATTTATGTTAGTTCTCATGTTTTTCTGTTCTCCTCTGTTGCCCTCTTGTGTGTGTGTGTGTGTTCCTTTCCCCTTGGCTCCCTCGTT